ACTTATCTGTCTACCTACCTACAAATATCCACACTGTCCAAAAAGAAAATTTCTTTCAGTAACCATCATCTGCCAATAACTTCTCAATTATAGAGTCTATTGCAAAGAAGTATATTAACTTATGTTAGCTGTGCTGTTGCTCTTCAAATTTGGTAATCTGATGTCAAGGAAAGAGCCATAAACCCAAGGGAGTAGTAGTTTCCAGAACAGGTGCTCATCCTTTTGAGGTCCAAGGTGACCTTAAGCTATTTAAAATTTGAATATAACTTAGAGGATTTGATGTTAGTTATAATTAAAAGAATATAAAAGAAAATATGATTTGGGGCCTTAAAACATTCAAGAATGACTAATTGTGTGAAACTAAAAGGTATGATAATAAATACATATATTTGTAATTAATTTTGATATTTACATGGATGAGAAATCCTTTATTAGTGTCTATCTACTCTGTTACTTGTGTTAAGAATTGGCTAAAACTTAGAAGAGTTAAGATCTATCACTTAAGTAGCTTCAAAGAGTATAAAAGCCAGAAAAAACAGATAACGGAATGATCATTCAAAGAAGAGACAAATGGGTCATCACTAGAGGCATCTAATAATTTGGGGGAAATCAGCCTCCAATCCCGTATTAGCAGGGACACATGATTAGTTACAAGAAATGACAATAACTTATCTTCGTTAAATGAATTTGCTAGTACTCACAATTCAAATTCCTATTAATGTCAAGTACTTTAAAATGATTTCTGTTATTAATTAAAATGTTTAAACATTAAAGGATAAATGCTGTAACTCATGTAACTAAATTGTATATAACTTATGATATTGATTTTCTCAAACCATATCCTCCATATTCCTATATTAGATTGTAATTATTTTTAAACAATTCTTAGCTTTCATATTTACTTGATATATTCCAAAGAAAAATAAGAACTTAGTTTTTAAAATTAAATTAATTAGTATCAGAAGCAGTCACAGTATTTATTCATTTTAGTGTGTATATCTTCATTTAGCAGGCAGTGGATGACATTACCCAGAAAATCTATTAGGAATTAATTTTATTTAAAAGAACTCATTGTATGCCAAATAAGAACAAAAGGAGATGATGCATATGTAGATGTTTTCTGTAAATGATACATTTAAACAATCAGCCTGGCTTTACAACATAAATTTATA